GTGCCTGCTCCTGTACTGACATGCCCTGAACACTGAGCTGGTGCACGGCCCTCTCCTTAGCTCCTAAACCACCAGGGAGCTGCTGAGAACCTCTGAGGCCTCCCACCTCTGGGCTCCTGGAGGGAACCGTGGGGAGTACCCTCTCCCAGATGTGCCCCCATCTAGCTCTGTGATTCCTCTCTCCAACTTCTCACTGCTACCTTCCCTTCCAGAGGGTCCTCTGGATGTCAGTTTTATGGTAAGCAAAATTTCCAGTGTGTTCACTTTACTTGTTGACTTTCCCCTGAAACTCCTGGCTTTAGTTTAAAACTTGCGGCCTTCTCCCACATCTTGAGTATGTCTGGATGGGGAGTTGGCATGGTATCCTTACTCTACACTGCAACTTCTGGACTTGTAGGCTTCCGTGTTATTTGCAAGCCTTCTGAGGCTTGTGTCATCTACTTATACTCCATTCTGTTGTTGTCAATCAACCTGAGTCACTTCCCCCCAGTACTGAGGATTCCAGCACTTTCACATAATCTTTTTTCTAGATCCCAGCTCCACCATTCACCCTGAGGGACTATCAACATTCACATGGTTGACCCATGCAGTTCCCTAGCCCCTTAATCTTTGAACTGCATGCTTCCAGTTTCTTCAATTTCCACCATACTTCAGCCTCCAAGTCCCATGACCCGTGTTGGACTTGGACCTTGTCATCCCACAGCACTGCTCCATCTAGGACAACAGAGCCAGACCTTGGACTCTGATTAAAAACCTCCTCACTCCCTCACACAGTTGCCTCTACTACATCTGCTCTTCACAGGGACCTCCTACTTCTCCCTGTTCGGGAGCCTTCTGCTGCTTTCCTTGCATTTCATCCAACTTGGTGGTTACTGTCCATCAGTTCAAATAAAATCTTCAAGTTTTTGCTTTCCATCCCATCCAAATGGCCAAAACCCACCCTTCCTTGGTTCCAATGGGTTTCTTCCTCTGCACAGTTCAGTGCTGCAAGAAAAAATACAACCTAACCTCACATCTTGGTGCCACTATAAATTCAGTCTTCATCTTCAACTGTATCTCCAATGGTATCCAGACACACTTCTATTTTATTGATAAAGCCCTCATATTCTGGAACCAGACTGGATCCATTTGAATCTCCACATCAACTTCAGCACTCACTAACTGTGTAAACTTAGGTAAGCCATTTCACTTCTCTGTGCCTCAATTTCTGTACGCATGAGACAAGATAACAACAGTACCTCCTGAAGGAGGTACATGGCTGAAGTGCAGATTAAAGGAGTAGAGCAGTATACATCATGACCACTTCAAGGGCACTGTCCATCATCAGTATTGTTTCCTAAATCAGATTTGTTTCATTCTCTCTAGTAGTTACTTTTAATGTTTATCATGTGCATCTTCTACTTAGAATCCTCCTCCTTCAGTTACATTTTTTCTCCTGGAAGTCATACCCTATCCCACTCCACACCCTTAATTTGACTTGAGCCTCCTTCCTCGGTACTCTCGTAGCTGAACTTCCTCCACTATATTGTTGATCACCTTGTGTGGTAATTGACTGTAATCCCCTTGAGAGGCCTGGTATATCTTGCTCTCTGTTGTATCCCTAGCACCTAGCACATGGGTAGCACATAGGAATATGTGTATGTGTGTGTGTGTGTGTGTGTCAAATAATATTAGAAAAAATTGAAGACCTACATAGGACTGTGAGCTCCCTGAGGCAGCTATTTTCTCTGGATCACTTTTAATACCTAGCAAGGAATAGATATCTTGTAATACTTGGGAAGCAATAAGTATTTTTCAAATAATAATTTTTCTGCATCTCTTGAGAGTTGTTTTTATATTTCCAAGAGGATTCTTACTCTTTATCAACTTGCTTCTTCTCTACATATCAAAATAGTCTCATCTTTCAAAGCTCAAGTCAAAAGTAATGTTTTCCAGGAAGTTCTTTACCAATCCCTTTGTTCTGGTTATCTTTTGCTATGTAACAAACCACTCTAAAGCTTAGTGGCCTAAAACAATACTCTATTACCATGCCTCACAGTTCTGTGGGTGGTCTGTCATATGGCTGCAGTCATGGAGGGCTTGACAAGCTGAACGTCCAAGATGGTGTCCTCCCATGATAGCCAATGGGTATGAGCTGTTGGTTAGTAGACAGCTCAGCTGAGGCTCTTGATGGGAACTGCATATGGCCTGCCCTTGTGACTTGGGTTTTTCACACATGGCAGTCTCCAGTTATTTATTCTTCTTAAATGATCACTGGCTTCCAGAAGGCAGGAAGCAGAAGCTTGCAGGCCACCTAAAGACTATGCCTGGAAAAAGCTCAAGTGTCACATCTACTGCATTTTACTGATCAAGGTTATCACAGACCCTCCTGGATGCAAGGAAATGGAGAAATGAATTCCATCTTCTGATGAAGGAGTATCGAGGTCATAACTGTAGAATAGTATGTAGGATGGGATATACTGTTATGGCCATCTTTAAAAAATAAAATTTGACACATTCCTCAAGGCAAAATTTATCCCTTTCTTGTGTGTTCTCTAGGCATTTACCTTTTGTTTTGTTTTGTTTTGTTTTTTTAATATTGATTTCCACCTCAGAGCCCAGAATTATTTTGCTAGGAAAGGTCTCTCAACCTATAGCACACAGAATACTTGGAAAATTGAATAAAATTACATGACTCAAACATACAGTAGACCCTTGAACAATCAGAGTTCGAGCTATGTGGGTCTACTTATATGTTGATTTTTTGATAAATATAGTACAGTACTATAAATGTATTTTCTCTTCTTTATGATTTTCCTAATAACATTTTCTTTCCTCTAGCTTACTTTATACATAAGAATACAGCATATAATATACATAACAAAATTTGTGTTAATGTGTTATCGGTAAGGCTTCGGGTCAACAGTAGGCTACTGGTAGTTAAGTTTTCAGGGAGTCAAAAGTTATAGGTGGATTTTTGACTGTGCAGGGGGTCAGCACTCCTAACCCCCATATTGTTCAAGGATCAACTATAATTATTCTTGGGGTATATGTAAATATTCTGTGATTAAATTCATTATATATATTTTTAACCAACCTATATTAGAAATTTAAATGATGCTGGGTATCTGCAAAATGTTTATGTAAAAAGTGGGCATACTCAAAAATGGTTTACTAAGTATTAGTTGGTTTATATGTTTGTCTCTTCTTAACTGAATTAGGTGTTACTGCTCCCACGGACTTAGCTTAATAACCTTTAGATCTCTAAAGTGTAGTAGATTAAATCATATATCATAGCTGCTCAGTAAATTTTGGCTTGGTTTGGTTAAAAATTTTATTTAAAAATTTAAGCTCTACCATTCATTTATACAATCAACAAATATTGATCAAGTACTTATTCTGCTACAAACACAATGGTAGAGGCTAAGGATAAAATGGTGAGCAAACCCAGTTTGCAGCCCAGGAGGGTAGACAGATATTGACCACACAATCTCCCTAAAGCTGTAAACTTCCAATTGTGAAAAGCTTTTTAGTTTCTGCGGTCTGCCAAATACCACAAACCAAGTGACTTAAAGAACAGAGTTTTGTCGTCTTAGAATCCTGGAGGCTAGAAGTCCAAGATCAAAGTTTCAGCAGAGTAGTTCCAGCTCTCTCTCCTGGGCTTGCAGATGGCCAGCTTCTCCCCATGTCTCTTAATGTCATCTTTGCTCTCTATGTGTGTCAGTGTTCAAATCCCCCTTTTTATAAGGACACCAGTCATGTTGGATTAAGGTCCATCCTAATGACTTCATTTTAACTTAATTTCCTTTGTAAACATCCCGTCTTCAAATAAGTCACAGTCTAAGGCCCAGGGTTAGGACTGCAGCATGTGAGTTTGGGAGCACACAACTCAACCCTTAACATTTTTCAAAGGAAAAGTCTGTAGCACCATGAGAACTTAAAAGAAGGGGGTTGAGGTAGCTTGAATGAGGAAGGCTTCCTCGAGGAAGTGAAACCAAATGGAATCCTGAGGATGAATGGGGGTTTACCAAGTAAAGAGGGAAAGGAAAAAGGTTCTTGGCCATGGATATAGTATGTGCTAAATTCTCTGGTGGCAGAAAGAGTGTGGTGTGTACAAGCAGTTGAAAGAAGGCTATATGATCTACATAGTTTTCAAATATTGTGGAGAAAATTTGAGGCCTAAGATGCATTTTTCTCTAGAGAGGCTTCTGTTTGCTTCTGTCAGGTGGCTGTGGTTCACAGCAGTCCCAGATGAACATGATCCAAACAGGACTAGGGATGATTCCTAGGCAGTCCACTGTCCCTTTGATCATTGGCTCATTTCCAGTTTACCTGACTTCCAGGATGTACCTGTTTAGAGTCCTGACTCAAAGCCTGGAGATTTATTAAACACTCCCAAATCAGGGTTGCCGTCCTGAGTTCCAGACTTTATCCATCCAGTTTCATGGTCATAAACTCTGTTGAAGTTCCCAGTGGGTCCTGCAATTAGTAGATACCCTCAGACATGGCTCCAAACATCAAGTTCATCTCTATGTTTCCTTTACCTCGTAGCAGAAGTTAGTTCAGATAACCCATTTCACCATTACACCAAAAGGCTGCTTGTGGAGAATAGGTTGGCTGCTAGAATAGACAGAAAGCCTGACATTGGTCAAGCATAATGCTCATGATATGATAGAAGTGTAAGGGTAAAAATGAAAAGAAATAGGTAAAGAAACATTATAAGGTAGAACTGGCAGAGCTTGGAAGGGATTGGATGCAGAGAATGAGGGGGAGAGAAGTCCCAAGGATGACACTTCGGTTTCTAATTTGAGTAACTAGATGGATAGGATAAATGGATATCATTCATTTACATAGGAATATGTGGAGAGAATTGACACAATGCAGGGCAAAATCACACGTTTCAGTTTGGAGCCATTGATTCTGAGGTGCTTGGAGATATTTAGGAGGCTATAGCAATGAAACATTGTATGCATGAGCTCAAGAAGGAGATCTGGGTAAGAGATGAAAGTCTTTGAATCCCCATGGATGTGGATGATGGACTAGGCTGGAAGCTTGAGAAACTCCAATGTTTGACGGTCTTTCCTTGCAAGGATGAAAGAGAAAAAGAAGGAATGGCCAGAGATGTATGAAGACAACTGGAAAAGAAAGGAAGGTTAGGGTGTCAACAAGAGAGTTAGTTAACAACATTCAATGTTGCTGAAAATTCTAGTGTGATCACTGAATATGGATGATCTTACAAAATATAAGTTGTTAGCAATGAGGTGGTAAATAAATTGCTATAACCTACATAAAGCTGTCAGAAGGCAACACTATAAAGTCTTCAGAAGACAACAGACAAAAAATTCTTCATAATCTCAAAGTAGGAAAACATTTCTTAAACAAGATACCAAATGCATTATTAATAATGTCAAAGATGGATAAAGGTGACTGCATTAAAATAAAGAACTCCTTTTTAAAAGCCACTGTAGAGTCTCACACTTGAAATGAATAGGACAATATGTCATCATACTTCAGTAATAAAAAAATTCTTTAAAGATATTATAAAGTTTAAAAGGGAAGCCACAGAATGTAAGAAGACATTTGCAACATTTAAAAATGATGAAGACTGTACTCAGATCTATGAATAACTCAAGTTATCTGTAGGAAAAAAAGACAGATAATCCAATAGAAAATAGGCTAGAGGCTTAAACAGGCACTTTATGGAAGAGATCCAAACAGCCAGTCAGTATATGAAAAAGAGTTTGACCTTTCTAGCAGTCAGTCACATGCAGATCAAAACCAAGTGTTTTCCTATCTTACCCATTCACCAGAAGATTTAAAAGTTTGAGAACACCAAGTGCTGGCAAAAATAGACTGTCAGAAACTGCTGTTGAGAAAACACACTGGTACAAAATTTCGAAACAGTTTGACACAATAAAGGTGAAGATACATAAACCTTTGACCAGGAATTCCACTTTTGTGTATGAACCCTGCAGAAAATTTATGCACCTCTGCGCCAGAATACATGTACAAAAATGTTCTTTGCAGCATTGTTAATAATATTCCTGGGCCATCATTTCACAATGTATACACTTATCAAATCATGATGTTGTGTATGTTAAATTTATACAATGTTATATGTTAATTATATTGCAATAAAACTGGATTAAAATAGGGGCGCCTGGGTGGCACAGTCAGTTAAGCACCCAACTCTTGATTTCGGCTCAGGTCATGAACTCAGTTTTATGAGTTCAAGCCCCACATTGGGCTCTGGGCAGACAGTGCAGAGCCTGCTTGAGATTGTCCCTCTTTCTCTCTTTCTCTCTCTGCCTCTCCCCTGCTCTCACTCTCTCTTTCACAAAAAATAATAAACTTGAAAAAAACTGGGAAAAAATATTCCCAGAGCAGAAACAGCTCAAATGTCCTTCAACAGTAGAACAGCTAAATAATCTGTGAGATGTTCATGCAATGAAGAATCATACAGTAATGAAAGTGGGTGACCTGGAGTTTACGTGCAGCTGTATAGACGAATCTCAGAAGCATTATGTTGAGTTAAAGAAGAAAAGATACCTAAGTGTGATTCTAATTATGTGATTCAAATGCAGACAAAATTAAACTATCCTGCCTTGGGATATATACCTAAGTGGTAAAACTATAAGGAAGCAAGGATGGATTATTACAAAAGTCAGAATAACATTTACTCATAGGTGAAAGGCTGGGAATCTTAATTGGAGAGCAGGTAGGGGAGGTATGGATGGGTAGAGTGGTGGTTATATGGATGTTTGCTTTCTAACTATTCTGTAAACTGTACACGTTCTAAGATCTTTATGTATGAAAGTTATATCTCACTATAAAAATTAAAAAAAAAACACCAAAGCTACCTCTTGAAATGATACCGTTTAATCCTGAGTTAATCCCACTATTTTTCCAATGGTGCTTTCTGGTAGTGACTGAATAAATCGATGTGACAGCCAAATACAGTACAAATACAATGACACATGATGCTGCACTTTACCAGTAAAAATTCCCTATATTTGTGACGTCAGATAAAAATATGAAAAACGTTGCTTTAATTCCTAGGTTGGATCATTAAATGCATGCTTCCTTGCAAAGAGGAATTTCCAAGTTGATGTATATGAAGCTAGGGAAGGTAAGACATTACAGAAAATTATGAGATGTGGTTCTGATTCTCTGACTTCTTTCTCATTACATTTTCTTTTACTGATATAACCATCGTATATCAGTGGTATTTCAGAACAGCAAGAAAAAGATTTCCACTGTAAAACATTCCTCTATCATTTTTCTCTTTCCTTTGTGTGTGTGTGTGTGTGTGTGTGTGTGTGTCCTTTAGGTATTTTATTTTTTTATTTTTATTTTTTATTTGTTAAAATTTTTTAATTAAATTTTTAATTTACATCCAAATTAGTTAGTATATAGTGCAACAATGATTTCAGGAGTAGATTCCTTAGTGCCCCTTACCCATTTAGCCCATCCCCCCTCCCACAACCCCTCCCGTAACCCTCAGTTTGTTCTCCATATTTATGAGTCTCTTCTGTTTTGTCCCCCTCCCTGTTTCTATATTATTTTTGTTTCCCTTCCCTTATGTTAATCTGTTTTGTCTCTAAAAGTCCTCATATGAGTGAAGTCATATGATATTTGTCTTTCTCTGACTACTAATTTCACTTAGCATAATACCCCCCAGTTCCATCCACGAAGTTGCAAATGGCAAGATTTCATCTTTTTGATTGCCGAGTAATACTCCATTGTATATATATACCACATCTTCTTTATCCATTCACCCATCAATAGACATTTGGGCTCTTTCCATACTTTGGCTATTGTTGATAGTGCTGCTATAAACATGGGGGTGCATGTGTCCCTTCGAAGCAGCACACCTGTATCCCTTGGATAAATGCCCAGTAGTGCAATTGCTGGGTTGTAGGGTAGTTCTATTTTTTGTTTTTTGAGGAAACTCCATACTGTTTTCCAGAGTGGCTGCATCAGCTTGCATTTCCATGTCTTTACATTTTAAAAAGAAATTTTTTTTTAGAAAGAGGAACTTCATTTTTTTTAACCTCAACTATCTAAATTTAACTTAATACAAAATTACTACTGTTAGTGTTTTCTTTAAAGGAGTTAACAAGGTCTTTTAACTTGGTCCTGAATGCACCAGTTATTCAGGTGCTATCTGCTCACTCTGTCCTAAGATAATAATGAGCTGTGTGTAATACAGAGTCTACTTTCAATGTCTTAGATCTCCGAGTGGCTAAATTTGCACGTGGAAGAAGCATTAACTTGGCCCTTTCTTATAGAGGACGGCAAGCCTTGCACGCCATTGGCCTGGAAGATCAGGTACCTTGTTAATGTATTTTCCTTGTAAAAGATAATACCTGCCATTTTCCAACAATTGCATGCTCTTGATTTCATCCAGGCTCAAAGCACCAATTAATGTCAAGAACCTTTGCATGGAAACTCAGTCTACAAAGGTTTTCAAACTTCTAAATTTGGCAGGAGGGTGAACATTGGGCACTTGAGGCAGCCTGGGGAACTGGGGCATGATGAGGGCAGGGGGATCCTGTGACTCTCCCTGATGATCTCTTCCGACACTGGGTTTGCAATCCAATGGTGGGTCTCAGCCTACAGGAAGTGTGACCTGAGGTTGCATCCAGGATGACAGGAGGCTGGCCTACAAACCTCATTCTTTTGACCATACAAGTCCATAATCTCTTACCCACAATTCTGTACTCCAAAGAGCTCTGGAAACAGAAAACTTTTCATCACTGATTCAGCAGCAAACTTGACCAGATGTGACGCTTTCTATGGCTTAAAAAAAAAATCTCGGTTAGTGTGAATATGTTTTGCTACAGATATTTGTGCTCTGTTTTGGGGTGATGCCTCAGAGTCCACTGGGCATTATGTGATATCCTTAGAATTACCTATCTAAAATTTGAAAACTTTAAAATCCTGAAACTGATGTGCCCTCAAGGGTTTGGGTAAGAATTATGGGTCCTCATGTAGTCTCAGCGTTGCCAAACTTCTCACTGTCTAGCAGTAGCGTGGAAATATGAACAGAAGTAATATATTTTTCGGCTATACTTTTGCTGACAAAGTGCCTTTTCAATGATCATATAAGCAGTATGGATGTCAGTTCTATTTCCAGTTTCCTCAGATATGTGTGTGGGAAAATACCTTGCATGGGGTTTTGGGAGTCCTGGGTTTTACTCCTCATTGCATTGCTCTGTTTTGTGATCATGAGAAAATCACTCAGCCTCTCTGACACTGACCCATTTTCCTTAATTGTAATATGTGATTTAGACCAGATAAAAGTTAAGTCGATTCCAAAAGCTAAAGGTTAAAAAAATCAAAAATTAAGTTCTGCAGGAACATAGCTTTCCTTAAGTTTCTACAACACCGTGCTTCCACGGCTCTTTGCATTATTTTTTTAATTTTTTGAGAATATTTGAAAACTCACATTTTAAAACCGATATCTATCTTATTCTATGATGCCATATTATGCTAATTGAAATTGATATTTCTTGGTTTATTTCAGATTGTAGCCCAAGGTATTCCCATGAGAGCAAGAATGATTCACTCTCTTTCAGGAAAAAAGTCTGCAGTTCCCTATGGGACCAAGTCACAGGTTGGTTTACCCTGAAGATAATGTTTACTTACGTGGAGTCTAATGTCTGGAACTTGACCCTTGCTTATTGGCCCTTCCTGTCTCTAGATCTGTCTTTGACATTGCCTGTGTCGGTCTGCAATTTGGACACATACACTAGTTAATAAATTAATCCATAGGAGATGAGATGCTTACAATAGGGCTCAGTTTCTAATAACCATTCAATAGAAGTAAGTTACATTGTCATCACTATTAGGCTCTTTGCCTCTATGCATTGTTCATGGTGGCCTGGGACACCCTTTCTCTCCCATCTCCTTTCAGTTACACAGAGAAGATTACTATGTATTTATTGTCAAGCATAAAATGCAAGAACAACTCTAGAGGGTTTTACACTGTTGTTACCTTCTCCAAACTGACTCTCTTGCCCTAAATTTAACTGTAATGGAATTTAGAGAATGAACCAAAAATGTGTTTAGTGCTATATAATTTCTAAAACAACAGAGGCCATTTGGTGAAATCAAGTTTACAAAAGAAAATCCATTATTCTGCTTTGTGTTTCTATTATCTTTACACAGTAACACACGGAGTGGGGAAAGTATGTATTTTTATCTAATATTTATACCTTCTAAGTTTGTTTCTTTGAGACAGAATGAGTGTACCAAACAGCTATCAACCAGAGAAAAACTCCAACTTGCTTTTCCAGCAAGGCCTTATTTTATTAAAGGCAGAGCCCAAATGAAGTTTATATTCTTTGAGTCTCTGAGCTCCCACAGAGCTCCCACTGCAGGCGGATTCGCGATTCTCAGACTCCTCTGGGATCCTGTTAAAGTGTGGAGTCTGATTCTGTAGGGCTAGAGTGAACGTAGAGATGATGCATTCTACACACACCCAAGTGGTGTCCATGCTGCTGCTCCATGGACCACACTCTGGGCAGCAAGAGATGAAGCACATGTGCTCATGGGAACAAAGTCTGTGTGGCTCTTGTGAGGATACAAGTGGCTGAAGCACCTCACACCCGTTAGGATGCTACTCTCAGAAAACAAGAATGAAAACAGAAAATAACAAGTACTGGAAAGGATGTAGAGAAGTTGGAATGCCTGCGCACTGTTGGTAGGAATATAAACTGCTGCAGCCACTGTGGAAAACAGTGCAGCCATTCCTCCAAAAATTAAAAATAGAATTTCCCATATGATCCAGCAGTTTCTCTCCTGGGTATGTATCCAAAAGAACTGAAAGCAGGGACTTGAAGAGATATTTGAACACTCATGTTCATAGCCGCATTACTTATAATAGCCAAAAAGTGAAAGTTGCCCAAATGTCCATCAATGGAGAAACAAAATGCGGTGTCCATGTATGTAAGATAATAAAAAAATCTATATTGGTTTCTACCCCTAGTTCCTGGCACAGAACTCCTAAAACTCTTGTAATGTCCTAAGTGATAAGAGCACTAGGAGATCTTTTCTTCTAATATTTGGTCTTTGATTGTAATTCCTAATCCAGAGCTCCTAAATCCCTTGGAATTTCCTGGGTGATAAGAGTGTCTTTTGTTCTAATGAGGTAACTCTCAGTGGGCTCCTGGATGGGGGCTGGTCACCAGAAAGACCAAGCCTTAATTAGAAGTTTGGAATTTTCAGCCCCACCCATCTGAAGAGAGGGGAGAGGGGCTGGAAGTGGAGTTAATGATCCAACATGCCCATGTGGTGAAGTTGCCACAAAAATCCCAAAAGTATGGGGTTCAGAGAGCTTCCAGGTTCGTGAACACACGGAGGTACTTGGAGATGGCTCACCCACAGAGGGCAAACACATATCTTGCCCTACACGTTTTTCCATCTAGATGTTTATCTGTACCCTTTAAACAGTAAGTCTACTGTTTTCCTGAGTTCTGCAAGCTGCCCTAGCAAATTAATTGAATCTGAAGAGGGGCTCATGGGAACATCTAACTTACAGCTGACTGGTTAGAAGCCCAGTTGCAAACTATATTGCCATTGGCATTTGAAGTGTGTGTGGGGGGGAGTGGGGGGTACAATCTCATGGCACTGAACCCTAACCTTTAGGATCTGAGGCTATCCAGGCAGACAGTGTCAGAGTGATTAAATTGTGGGACAGCCAGCTTGTGTCACTGAGAAGTGGCCTGGTGGAGGAATCTCCCCCCTCCCCCCACCCCGCGAGACACATCTGGTGTCAGAGTGTTGTGCATGTGGTAGTAAGTGGGAGGAAAGAAGACATTCACCAGAGGAGAAGGGAGGTTTTCTATACAACATACACTGGAATACTATTTGGCCTTAAAAAAGAAGATTCTGACACCTTCTACAACATGGTTGAAACTGGAGGGGACTTTATACTAAGTGAAATAAGCCATTCACAAAAGGACAAATGCCAGATTACACTTATGTGAGGTATCCAGAGTGGTTAAATTCATAGAAACAGAAAGTAGAATGGTGATTGCCAGGGCCTGGAGGGAGGGAGAAATGGGGAGCCATTGCTTAGTGTGTAGAGAGTTTCAGTCTTATAAGATGAAGATTTCTGTGGATGGACGTTGCTGATGCCCATACACAGTGTGAATGTATTTAATGCCACTGAACTGTGTACTTAAAAAGGAGTTAAAATGGTAAATGTTATATCATATGTGTTCTCGATAACATGTATTTAAAAAGTGGCAGAAAGGAAAACATTCCAACAACTAAGGGCCTATGGGAGATGGGAGGGAGTGGGGAAAGATCCATTTTTTTTTCCATTTAGTGACTTTCTGAAATAGTAACCTGCTTATTTTTGGCATGGTAAAAACATAGGTACAGAGTCTTAATGTATGAGCCAGGCAGGAGAAGGAAGGGGAAGAAGATCCACTGATCATCCCTGATCAGATAAACAGTTTTGGATAATTAACATGTCCTGTTCAACAGGCCCCAAGCTGGGCTTGGCGTTGTAGGAAAGGAACACAAGGTTTACACATAGCAGTCAAGGGTAAGCTATACGTACTAAACGTATCCTGTCATAAACACTAACTCTTCTGTGTTCCATACTGCGTGCTAGTGCTGGTTACTGAGGACTGGGAGAGGAGCTTGTAAGCATTGAGGGCAGACGGTAATCAAGTTCTTGCAAAAAGAACTCTTCTGAGAGATGAAGTGCTCAGCTGTATGGTTTGGAGAAGGAAGAAGCTTCAGTTTTCCGAGAAGACCTCACGGAAAAAGCGAGGATTGAGGCGGACATTTTGTTTAAATATTAAATCGACAGCAAAATAGTGTTCTCCCAATTAAAGGAGCATCCGTCTATGGACGGAAGTTGGGTGAGACAAGAACTCTAAAAATATATAAATGTTTAAGTGCCCAGTGTGTATTGGGTAAGAACACTTGTGATGCACTTTCGCATTACAGAATCATAGCGTGATCAGCAACCTTGGATTCCTTGAATCCAACCACCTTGTTTTACGGATGATGAGACAGGCTGCATGAGTACATGAGGTCAACATCAAGGGAGGCACGGGCAGGTGTCCTCACGGACAGTGGCCAGCGCAACATAGGTGTTGGAGGAGCTCCCAGGAGTGCTGGGCAGTATTGCTAAGTTGTATTATTGCTTTTGCTAAATTGAGAGTGACCACAGTAATCATCCCTACCTTTGTCTTGGATTCACAGGGAGTTAGCTAAGAAGGCCAATTCTGACATCATTGCCTCCCCAGAGATTGGGTCAACAAAGTATGAGTAGACAGAGGAATAAAATGTGGTTCAGAATATCGGAACATTAGATGAGCAGAGGGAAGTGGACCTGAGCACCAAACTGAGTTTCTTACCCCCAGCACTGGAGTGGGGGTGGGACAGCTTCATTTCTACTGGTGCCCAAGAGGGTGAAGGTGTTGGTGGGAGTTACCATATGGGACCTTCAACACAGAAGAAGCAGGAAGTGATCACTCACCCACGGTCCTGTCATTCTCAATTCTTAAGAACTCAGTCAGTGCTAAATTTGCAGCCACGTTTCTTTCTTTGGTTTGCATCATTACTCTTATGACAGGGTTGAACATGGGGCCTCCTTTAAGAGCTACATAAAATTGCCTTGAATCACTCAATTCCACAGCCTGTGGAAGTCCAAAGCCCTCCCCATGACCCCAGGATTTCTGCAAATCCCCAGGCAGCCCATCTTCTGTTGGCATCAACCTTCTCTGAGCCTCCTTCCTCCAGCTGTTGTATTCTCTGCCTTTCCTCCCTGGCAGGGTCCAGACTCTTCCAGTCTTGCTCATTCCAGCCATCTCCCTCCCAAATTGTCCTGGGAACTATCAAAATATTCTCTGACATACAGAGCAGGTCAGAGCCCCCCAATTTTTTTTAATTATGCAGAGAAAAAATTTTTTAAATTTTATTTTAATTCCAGTGTAGTTAACATACAGTGTTATATTACTTTCGGGTGCACACGATAGTGATTCAACACTTCCATATACTACTAGGTGCCCATCAGGATAAGTGTACTCTTAATCCCCTTCACCTATTTCTCCCATCCCCCCCACCTCCCCTAGCTCCCCAGTTCCTATGCCCCAAATAGAGGAATAGAGCCCCCTTAGTAGAAAACATTCCCTTTTACAGGCTTTCAGGATATAGGGTGTAAACATGTTTTTCTAAAATATCTGAAAAAGTCAGCACTGCAACTCTTGTACAAATCTCCAAAGGAGATTATCAAACTTCCTTTAGGTTTCATTGTTAATGTTTTGGTTACAAGGACCTCTTTATACTTCCTGACTTGTTTCTTCTTTTTTTAATCACTGTTGTATTTTATTAAGGACATTTGTGAAGGTTCGTTTGAAACAACCTGGTCTGTAAAATACAACTGAGTCACTAAGCAACAACAGACAGAAGCCAGTTTCAGTCTTGGATTAATGTTGAATTCATTTATAATTACTCTACTATATGTCTAGGAAGAATACATAGGATTTTTTAAAATGCAATATGATGAGTAAGGACAGTTGAATACTGACTCACAAAATAGACTAAATTGTAGTCATTTGAGCTGCTATTTTAAATTTATGGCTGCGAGCTGACAACCAGAGTTCTTTTTTGTTTTTGTCATTGTTGTGATAAATAAGTTCAATAAAGCTATCCAGACAGGAAATGTGGAGCTGGACTATGAGAATTATTTCTTTGTAGCCTTCACCAGAGATGCAGTTCCCCCCCCCCCCCCCCCCCCCCCCGCCCCAGTCTTATTGAGAAACAATGGATGTTCATCACTATATAAGTTCAAGGTGAACAACGCTATAATTTGATTAACATGTGTGGTGAAGACTTGTTTGTTCTTATTTTTTCTTCACAAGACCAACTTTTTAGAATAGGCATTGGAGAAGTGGGGCTTGATGGGGGAGGCTCTAACTTTCGCCTGCAGATGCCAGGTAGAAGGACAGGGACTCTCCACAGGACCCATGTGTGTATCAGTTCCCAAATGAGGCAGATGTCAACCAAGCCTGGCCACTGATAAGGAAAGAATAGCTTCCCTCCGTATATGAGTTTCCCTAATTTAAATGTTTCCAAACATATTTTGAATGGCAAGTGTGGTTTCCATTGAAATTAGGTCATTAATGACACAGAAGACTGGAAAACAGAACAAAAGAGGCAGAGAATGAAGTCCTGTTCATTTTAATTCATAGCAAAGACACAGGAAGCCCCTCTTCAGTCATTGCCTCTGTAGCATGACCGAATTGTTTTTACACCAACTGTAGGGTTCACTGTTAATATTAAATGTCTACTTTGGGGTGAGGTGAAGATTTACAAAATGAGCGTATTTGTATGAAATGATGTGATGTTTCAAAATTTGGGAAACATACGCTTTAAAGTTTTAAAGAATAGGTTCACCCTGAACTGTGAGGTTGTATTATGACTTTCACGGGCCCTAGGTGGGCACTTTCGCCTTTGTGGGTCCCTCTCCCTCTGAAACAATAAATATTAAAAATTAGATTTTAGGAGGGCATTGGTATAAGGATGAAAATAACCCAGGCTGGGGTGCCAGGGTGGCTCAGTCAGTTAAGCATCCAACTTTGGCTCAGGTCATGAACTCACGGTCTGTGGGTTTGAGCCCCATGTCAGGCTCTGTGCTGACAGCTCAGAGCCTGGAGCCTACTTCAGATTCTGTGTCTCCCTCTCCCTACCCCTCACCTTCTCATGCTCTGTCTCTGTCTCTCAAAAATGAATAAACATTAAAAAAATAAATAAAAATAAAATAACCCAGGCTGGATTCATTCTCATAGATTCATTACCTTTATTTTTTTTCTTCTAATTTCAGTATAAACTAAAATTAAAACATTTTCGTGAACCCCTAAAAGTATGTGGACCCTGGGCATTGTGCCCACTGTGCCTTTTGGAACAGGCGGCCCTGTTTAATTGTCCTATAAAGTCAGAAATAAAGAACACATGTCCCAGGGAGGGCTGACCCTGCTTCTATGCACAATTTCCTCACCATTACCATCCCCCCCCCCAACACACATTCCTTTCACATTTAATGAATGCCTTCCAGGTAGTCTCTTTAGGAAAAACCACATTTATTCCAACGTCGCTGTCATTACTGAAGTTTTTCTAACACATCAATTTGTAGATCTAAGATGAAAATACAAGATGTTGTTAAAACTATCTTAGTAAAAATAACATTTTTGCTATAAAAGAAGGATTTGGTTTTTATAATATCAAACCTTGAAAAAGCCAAAGTTGTAACTTGAACCTTGTTTTATATGTATTTGGTTAAAGTGTTTATTTTTAAAAGGCTAATTAGCTAAATGGTTATGAAACTAAGTTGGCAAACTTCTGCTAAGTATTTCCTACTGCTGAATGAATAACAATGAATAATGTGAATAATAATGAATAATATTTGTCTATTCTTCAGAAGTAAACAGTATCTACTATATTTTTCTTGCAGTATATTCTTTCTATAAGCAGAGAAAATCTAAACAAGGAGCTGTTGACTGGTAAGTCCAATGCTTTATTCCGTTGTCACTTTCAGTAAAGCACGTAAGCCTAACCCTGTTACATGATTCACTGGGATTTGCTTACTATTCCTTTTCATGGGTTATTCATGGGTGATTAAGGGCAAGGCTATGTACAATACAAAGTCCTTGAAAAGTAGTAGTGATGCGTCCTCTGGCATCTCTTTTTCATCTTGTCACTGATCTAAATAAAAATCATTTGTTCAACACACGTTGAATTCCTATTGTCTTTTCAACACTGGAATGAATGAGTGTTCACCCCGGAAGAACTCATGGACTAGAGGAACAACAGATACCCTCGAACGATTTGCAAAAAGACACGATTAGGTCTTCACTATGGAAAGATCAAAAGCAGTAGTTGAAGGCTGAAGAGGGCTGCAGTCTTCAGAGTATTATGATAATCCCTGGGTGCATAAAGCCAACCCTGAACTTAAAGCCAGAGCACAGGGGCCAATTTGTAGGAATTGTAGGAAACCAAATAGCAGAGGGTGTAGGAGGTTGAAAAAAAGGAAGGCATAAAACATACCTTGAGGACTCTAATGTGTTACAGACACACCCATTAATGGAGAAGCCACTGGATTGCACATTAAACTTGCAGCGTGGATGATCAGTGCAATCACTTGCCAGGTAGCCCTTGGCCATAACAGCTTTTTCTCCTCTTCAGTATTTGTGCTAATTAGATTCATTCCCTGCAGAACATAACACTTGAGTAATTCTATCTTTTTTTACATTTTTTAAATATGAAATGTATTGTCAAATTTTCCATACAGCAGCCAGTGCTCATCCCAAAAGGTGCTCTCCTCAATACTATCTTTTAAATCAACTCCTCTCTGTAATCCAGCAGCCTCTGAGTTCTGGAGAACAGAGTTTCTACATGACTATCTGTGTTTCTCCCCACCCTTCTACCCAGAATGATTCTGCAGTGTTTCTGTTGAATTGAATTGAGCTGGCAGGAGGTGTGCTGGGAAGATCACTCTAGCTGATTCACCACGGACTTCAGAAATAGGGCTCAATATTCTTCTTAATTTTACTTCTTGACTTACATTTGCAAGACCATCTTTTGGATGGGTAGATGGGGGGGGAGGTGGCTAGATATACTGATATTGATCTCAAGAAGCCACAAAACAGCTTTTTAAAAAGTGGTATGGCCAACCTAAGACAATCTCTTTAGAGCATCTCTGAATTTATTAAGAATGAGAGCAAACACTCACTGAGACCCCGGGGAGTGTGTTAAGTGCTCTATAGAGCACTCTATAGATGCTCTATAGCGCATCGATTTTTATAACCCTCCCAACAGCTCTGTGAGGGAGGAGCTCCTTTTCCCTCAGTTTGACAGGGGAGGAGGCTTCTCATGTTCCCCGAACAGCAGCCCACACTGCTAATAAGTGGTAGAGTCTGTGCTGGAGCTGGATCTGTTACTCCAAAGTCCACGCCTTTATCTCCTAGAGTCAGTGCCTCCAATATTACACATGAAATATCTGCTAGCAGTAGGAGCTACAACCTGGGAAGAGCTGATCTTGGTGGACAGACCAGAAGCTCCCATACCTGGTTTTCCTTGGGAACGTTCTGCACAGTGTGCAATTTCATAAATGCCAGAAATATGTGAATAAAGTGTACACACATGGACTTTCTCTTTTTTTCATTTCACTTATTTTATTTTTATTTTATCTTTTTTTTTTTATAAGTTTCAAGTTTTTATTTAAATTCGTTAGTTAACATATAGTGTAATATTAGTTTCAGGAGTATTTAGTGTTGCATAAAATACCCAGTGCTCATCACAAGTGCCCTCCTTAATACCCATCACCCATTTAGCCCATCCCCCCCCCCCCCCCCCCCCCCCCCCCCGCCGAACAGACTCTCTTAACCTCTAAACGTTGTTTGGCATATAAACTCTTTCACACAGCTGTCCTTCCTTTACACAAACATGTGAGCTGCCAGCTCCATGTGCAAACACTCCCTCCTGACTGCACAGCCTCCCCTCTGAAGGTGTGGTAACAAAATCATTCCCCTGCATCTCATGTAGGATTGTTTCATGGTTCACTGTCCAGGGCTGGGAGGGAGGGGTTTGTTAATAATTGTTAAGCAAAGCAAGCAGGAAAAGGGCATGCAATCAAGTAAGTTTGATAAATCCTGCATGAAACAAGTTTTGAAAGTTTTCTTACAGTATTTCTCAGGGCCTTTATTCAGCTAGTCTGCATTGTGGATTTTCTAGGGCAACACTGTCCAAGATTTGGCCACAAAGGCCAGCCACTTGTATAATTTAACATTTTATATTAACCACATTTAAAGGCCTAAAAAGAAACAGGTGAACTTAATTTTAACAATATATTTATATCCAAAATATAATCATTTCAATGGGTCATCAACGGAAGACAGTGATGCATGAGACCTTTTTTATTTGGTACTAAGTTGTCAAAACCCAGTGGGTGCAACACATCTCCATTTGGACTAGCCACATTTCAAGGACTTGAGCCACATGTGGTTGAGGACCAGGACCGCACAGCCTAGAAGGTCAGAGTGTTAGCATTTTTCCAATCACTCTGACCACATAACAGTTTTTTCGGGAGCATATTCCAGGACTAGTGTTCTGTGGAAAATTCTTTGGGATGTATTAGTGTACATTAAAAAATAAACGTAATTTAATTTAATTTTTTCAAGAGTTAAAACACATTTAGGGTTTATAAAAGATATCCTTAGTTGTTCAGATAAATTCTGATTTCTCCATAGTTATTTGTCAAAAGATTTCTTAAACATAGATAAGTAGATCTGACTTGTAGCTTTAAGAAGAGTAAATAACCTATAATTATAGATCTATCCATGAGAATTAATAGAGGCAAAAATCATATTTTACTGCTATGGCAAGAATATGATAATTCATTAATTTCTATAGATTGCTAACAGGCAAAATAAAAAAAAAAAAAGCACCAGAATACTTTGATTCTATTTATTGAGAAGTTTTAGATCTTGTTACTCATTTTTTCCCTCAGTGTTCCAGTGTTTGATTACAAAAAGAATTAGTATCAAAATCTATATCTGTGACTTGACTCAGAAGTCTAGAGAACTACTAGAAAGAGATATAGAATGAGGCATAGCATGAGAAGAGGAGTTTGGCTGAGTATTTCTAATCACAAAATCCGAAACTAGAGGCAAATTTTAAAATATGTGATGCCTGCTTCTTTTCCAGGGTGACAACCATCACAGTAACGTAAGAATTTGCATAATGGAATTAGTTGTATTTTTTTAGATGAGGATAGTTGATTTGTATTCATCTCTTTTACTACCAAATTATCCTAGAACATTTGCCAAATAGTTGTCAAATTACCACTTTGTGCTAATTCATTATTACAGTCTTAAGAATAAACATCTCTATCATTACTGTTCTCAGGAAATAATAACAATTTCAATTTCATTAAGTGAAATAAGAATTGGAATTTCATTTCCATTTGCTCATTTTCTTTGTCTCCTCAGCTGTTGAGAAATACCCCAATGCAAAGGTGCACTTTGGCCACCGGCTGTTGAAATGTAATCCTGAGGAAGGAGGGATCACAGTGCTTGGGTAATCAGTGGTCTTGACTGCAGAGGTGAAGGGTTAGAGCAGTGAACTGTATCTGTAAACTTTGTTCTTTGGCTTCTTTGAAAGATTTAAATGATTACTGAAAGAGACTCAAAGAAACATCAAAAACCAGCCTTTGGATGACTTCTAAATACCAACACAAGTGATTCTTCTTGATTCTCGTGCGGGCTCAGCATCCTACCATGTTCCACACTGGTAGCCACACTCTTCAAATGCTCTCTGTCCTGTGTTCCCTCTCCTCCTTCTGGAAACTATTTGCCTCTCCTTGGCTGCCTCTATGTCCTCTAAAGTTCCTAGCTCCATGTCCCATCCTTGGGACATGTCATGGATTCCCAGTCCACTCAACCACCACTTAAAAATTCCCTTTGCTAAAATGAACCTCCCCAGCCCATGCCTCTGTCTCCCCTCTCAATCCTTCTTTCAGTACTGATCCATGTTAATGTTCTGTTAAACACCTTCACAAGCACCGCTTGCCATGCTTTCAAACATATCTTAAAACTTGACCATCTATTTCTCTCCAAGCATGTCCAGTCCTGACCTCCTTAATGCCGTTAATAATTAGAATCATTCTTGGTGTGCCCTTTTCCTTACTTTCTCTCATTAAATCTATGACCCTGCCCCATCTTTCTTACTCCCCGGTTGGGTTCAGAGCCTATGTCTTTCTTCTGAGGCCTAAGGTCCCTGGGTTCTCACACTTGCACACCCAGGCTACTGCAATCACCTTGTCCTCTCCTTGTCCCCTCCCCCCAGCACTCTGCCTCCAGTTCAATACCTCCAGTGCCGAATAAGTTTTCCTAAATTACCACTCTTCATTCACCATCCCCTCAATGGAAAAAGTTATTTTCTCTTTTGCCAGAAGAATGTATTTAAACCTTTTGTCTTAACATTAAAAATTCTCTTCTTCTCCTCCCTCTTTCCTTCCCCATATTGTACTCTTTTTCTGAGCTTGTCTTCCAATACCCTCCACTCACACTAAACACACTGTTCCTGGAAAGTCCTGTGCCATCTCTGCCCTGGTCCATCCCTTCCCTCACTCTGTCTTCTTCTCAAGACTCTCCCTTTGTGCAGGGGACTCAAGCCTTAGTCACATTTCAGTGGCCTGGCATGTCCTTATTAATTGGTGTACTGGTGTTATTCTCATTCTCATGAGCAACACCACCATAGAGATGAGGGTTGTCATCTTTATATCTATCAACTCTAAGCTCAAAATCAGATACGTACAAGTGAGGAGTGGCCCCCTTGAGTTGCTACTTTTTATATCCAAGAAGAGGAACAGCATCATTTTTACCACTAGATTATTTTTTTTGGATGGTTCATTTTATTTTTCAGATCTGACAAAGTTCCCAAAGATGCCACTTATGACCTCATTGTAGGATGTGATGGAGCCTACTCAACTGTCAGAACTCACCTCATGAAGAAACCACGCTTTGATTACAGCCAGCAGTACATTCCTCATGGGTACATGGAGCTGACGATTCCACCCAAGAATGGGGATGTAAGTCCTTTCCCTTCTTTGGCTCCTTCCCATAGCCCTCCTGCCCCTTGGACTAGTGAAGATGCATATTCTAATGCACTTGTTCTCAACAGCATATTTGGATGAGTTCTGAGGTCTGCTATAGTCCTTTGCAAAGAATAATAAGTTGGGTATACAAGTATCCTTTTAATATAATTTTGGGGATCCTGGATGGCTCAGTCAGTTAAGCATCTGACTCTTGCTTTTGGCCCAGCTCATGATCTCATAGTTTGTGGGTTCGAGCCCCTCATTCAGCTCTGTGCTGACAACCTGGAGCCTGCTTGGGATTCTGTCTCCCTCTCTCTCTGCCCCTCCCCTGCTTGCATTCTCTTTCTCTCTCTCTCAAAAATAAATAAATAAACATCAAAAAAAAATAACATCACTTCTCTCCCTTGCCTTCAAGATATGCTTTCTTGAGTGGTCAGGAAAGGAGAGGAATTACAGCTACCCTACTGGGAACACAGAGGGAATTTGTCTGACATAATAATGTCATTTTTCTCTTTTTTCTTGGTAGAAAAAAAGTGGGTCAGGAATCATTCTGTATACTGACAATCCAGAGTTCTTATACTCATGATTATACCAAGTAATGATTATTAAATCAAATGAATAGCAAGCTAATGCAAAGAGATTTTCATTGCATGTTTTCTCATTTCCTGGTTCCCAGGTTAAAACCTATGGGGCTTGAGGCAAATACATCATAGCTATGTTTTATATTGTCGTAGCAAATAAATGTAGAATCTTATTAAGGGAAGTTAAAATACCAACAGAAGCAATAAGGATATTGGCTTATAGGTAAAGATAAGTAAATAGCACTAATTTAAATTTGAGTTACATAAAGAACATCTATTTTTAAGGTATTTTTAAGATGTAATTTATCCTATCTGAAATTCACACATCTATAACATAGTTAGTCAATTTGTGATAGTGCTATTATATACTAGGTATATACCAAATTGTATGAGCCAGTCAAATCTATAATATATCACTAAATCATTGTTTTCCTAGTTCTTCCTCCTGGTCAGAAAAGTATTTAGTAATTCTTAAGTGCTAATTTTACATTTTTCAGGTGAACTTTGTTCTCATGGCCCAGGATCTGATAATTCTGGTTTACAAGATAATATGATTCTGTTAAAAATTGTCCCAGACTAGGGGCCCCTGGGTGGCTCAGTCAGTTGAGCTTCCGACTTTGGCTCAGGTCATGATCTCACGGTGTCTGAGTTTGAGCCCCGTGTCGGGCTCTGGGCTGATAGCTCAGAGCCTGGAGCCTGCTTCAGATTCTGTGTCTCCCTCTCTCTCTGACCCTCCCCCATTCATGTTCTGTCTCTCTCTGTCTCAAAAATAAATAAACATTTAAAAAAAATTGTCCCAGACTTGAGTGGAATCAGGCCTTTTAATGTAGATTTAAGATAGCCA